TCCCGTCGCTGTCAGCGGTATGGTTTTGAGGCAATGGTACGTGAAGTATCACCCTGACTCTGGACCTTTGCAGTATGACACGGCCGAAAAGCTCAACGCGGCACTTGGTGACCACATGCGCGCTGTATATCCAGGGCTGAAGTACCACACGTTGCATACCGTGTTGCGTATGCGACGGAAAGCTGTCTTGGTGTCCCGCTCAGTGTTGAGAAAGTGGTGCGATGTGTATGCGTCGGTGGGCGCTTCAGTGCAGGCGGCGGCTTCATCCGCCCAGGCCGTCACCGTGTATCAGCCAGGCAGCCGGGCACCCACGCGCCCGCTCCGCGCCATCGCAGACGACGATGCGTCGCGCCTTTAGTATGCTTCTGGATGCGAAGACCATTCGGTTGAGTTCCTCTACGTGTGACTGGACCTGTTTGCGAAAGCAGGAGAAAGTATGGCACCCCTTTGTGTCCAGAGCCGCGCCGTCTGCGTTCTTCCTTTCTCGCTTCTCTCCTTTCCTCCTTGTCCTGCTCCTCCTCCCCCTCTTCCGCCTTGGAGCCGTATTGGAACTGTCGATGGCCATCTCCCTTTCTCCCTCGCATGTCTGCTTGTACATACGTATAATTTCAGAACTTACCGTGCATGCGATCGTTTACAACATGGTGGACCGTGCGTATGTCACGAACCTTGTATACATGTGTTTCTCTCCCTCCGTCTGGCTGTGCACGCGCGCGTTGGGCACTGAGAGTTAGGATCATAGCGCCATGAGTCTATGAGCAATGCATGCGTCATCCTTGGGACTGTATAACATCAGTGTAACACATGTACTTCTGTAATCGCATCCCCACGAATTTGCCCCAAAAATGTGACCAACTATCTTGGCACTGCGTACCATCTCACGTGTACCGTGTACCACATCATATGTAACAGATGTGATCAACCTCTGTGGGTGTGTACCCCACGCCAGTGTAGTAGCCAGGGTCGTCCGCACGCCACGAAGTGAAGTGTCCCAACGTCATAGGGCGGGAAGCTGGGTGTGGGTGGTCTCGAAGAGTCGTTTGGATATTTGGTAGAGCTTGAACGGCCCCCCCACGAAGTGGGGGTATTGGCTGGTGTCGCAAGAAAACCCTGGCACTGGGGAGAACACTGAGCGTTCGGGTAAAATGATTGTTGTTGTTGTTGTTGTTGTTGTTGCTGTTGCCGCTTTTGTTGTTGTTGTTGTTGTTGTTGTTGTTGTTTTTGTTTGTTTGTTTGTTTGTTTGTTTGTTTGTTTGTTGTTTATTGTTCGTTATCGTCGTGCCACCACCGACCCATCCGCGACCCACCCGCGACCTATCCGCGACCCACTCGCGACCCACGCGCGACCCATCCGCGGCCCACCCGCTACCCACCACGCGACCCACCCGCGACCCACCCCGCGAGCCGCCCGCGACCTACCTGCGACCCCCCGCGCGACCCGCCCGCGACCCACCTGCGACCCACCTGCGAGCCACCTGCGTCCCACGCGCGACCCACCCGCGACCCGCCCGCACCCACCCGCGACTCACCCCGCGCACGTCTCCTCACTCTTGTCCACAACTAGTGTTTACATAGAGGTGCGGCCGTTCGGGGAAGTTGGAATCAGGAAATCCGACGTCACTTGAGGCGGTCGGCGCAAAACCATCGCTGTTGCAATCGGGATGCAACGCACTTCCGGCTAGCGTAGATAAAATCGTCTGTTTCAACAATGGCGCCACCCCCTTTAATACCACACTCCTTGCTAGAACAACGTTCTCCGCGGATGCCCCGCGCGGAACGTATCCGTGCGACCGCGCATCGAACCCAGACCGCGAGGGCGCGAATATGGAGATGTTCGCCGCTCGTCAGTTCACTCTTGAACTCGAGGCCTCCTAGATGGGGTCAGAGTAAAATGGTGTCGGAGGATCGCGCCGCATCGCCGATACGTCGGCGATGCATCGGCGACGCCGGCGTGAAGGGAATCGGGCCCAGCATCCAGCCGAATCGGCGATGCATCGGCGATGCGGCGCAGTCCTCCGACCCAATCCTGCTCCGATCCCATCTGGGAGGCCCAGAGGAACGGCCGTGACCCTCCGATGGCGCAGGTCGCCGTGTCGGCCGACCTGGGTCACTGGCGGCGCTCAGCAGCGATCGGGGGGCGTCCACGGGAGGGGCGTGCTCTCGAACCTCGTGGCCCGAGGCAAGTGCGCGGACGAGGGGGGGCCAGGGGACGCACTGGAAGAGGACGAGTGGCCACGAGGTCTTGGGAGATCTCGTGGCCCTGGCAATGATATCTCCCCCCACAGTAGAGGCCCGACCACAGGAACCCTTCCACAAGAAACCCAACCCTGAGACCCCAGGACGTCCATCGATTCGTGGTGTGGGAACGTCACGCTTTCCATAGCAAAACCATCGAAACCCAAGAAACCCAGGGCACCCTAGATGCATGCAGGGTGTTTCTTGGCATGGGCCTCCACTGTAATCCGCCACGGTGCCTCTGGGCACGGAGTGGGCGTGTCCTCAGGTCCTTTGCTTCATCCCCTAAGCCCCAGTCCTGTCTTGACGAGTTTTGATGCGCCCGGGCCCCAAAATTCCCAAATCCGCCTGGGCTTGTCGCAGTCCTAGGGTTCCAGGCACCGTGTCGCATGACTCTTTCGGGCCCAAGGGTGCCCCGAGACGCCCAAAGATCGGCCTGAGGCGCCCAGGATGGCCTCAAGATGGCCCAAGAGTCCCGAAAGGCACCCCAAGAGGCCTCCAAAAGGCCTCCCAAGACGGCCTCGAGAGGCACAGGCAGTGATTGTCCCGAGGGTTTTGAAAGATTTTGGCGTTCTCGCCTTGTCGGCTTTCCGACGCTCCAAGTCGGCCCAAGAGGCCGCCAAGATCACCCCAAGAGGCCTCCAGAAGGGCCCCAAGACTGCCTAATAGCGCCCCAAGACGGCCTGATAGCGCCAAGACGGCCCAAGAGGGCCCCAAGACGGGGGGGCGTGCCGGGATGGGTGGCGGGGACGCATGTGAGCGCGGCCGCTGGGGCCTTCGGTGGAGCTCCCTGTGGTGCCACAAAACGTGTGAGGGGTGTGCCGAATTGGGTGGGTGTGGGTGACGCATGTGAGCGCCGCCACTGGGGCCTCCGGTGGATGATGGGGCCACGAAACCTGTCAGGGATGTGCCGAAATGGGTGTGCGGGACGCATGCGCATGTGAGCGCCGCCACTGGGGCCTTCGGTGGAGCTCCCTATGGGGCCACGAAACGTGTGAGGGGTGTGCCGAAATGGGTGTGGGTGACGCATGCGGGCGCGGGCACTGGGGCCTTCGGTGGAGCTCCCTATGGGGCCACGAAACGTGTGAGGGGTGTGCCGAAATGGGTGTGGGTGACGCATGCGGGCGCGGGCACTGGGGCCTTCGGTGGAGCTCCCTATGGAGCCACGAAACGTGTGAGGGGTGTGCCGAAATGGGTGTGGGTGACGCATGCGGGCGCGGGCACTGGGGCCTTCGGTGGAGCTCCCTATGGAGCCACGAAACGTGTGAGGGGTGTGCCGAAATGGGTGTGGGTGACGCATGCGGGCGCGGGCACTGGGGCCTTCGGTGGAGCTCCCTATGGAGCCACGAAACGTGTGAGGGGTGTGCCGAAATGGGTGTGGGTGACGCATGCGGGCGCGGGCACTGGGGCCTTCGGTGGAGCTCCCTATGGACGAAACGTGCGTGTGACGCATGCGGTGTGGAGCTCGGAGTGTGTGTGCCGGGGTGACGCATGCGGGCGCGGGCACTGGGGCCTTCGGTGGAGCTCCCTATGGAGCCACGAAACGTGTGAGGGGTGTGCCGAAATGGGTGTGGGTGACGCATGCGGGCGCGGGCACTGGGGCCTTCGGTGGAGCTCCCTATGGAGCCACGAAACGTGTGAGGGGTGTGCCGAAATGGGTGTGGGTGACGCATGCGGGCGCGGGCACTGGGGCCTTCGGTGGAGCTCCCTATGGAGCCACGAAACGTGTGAGGGGTGTGCCGAAATGGGTGTGGGTGACGCATGCGAACTGGGGCCTTCGGTGGAGCTCCCTATGGAGCCACGAAACGTGTGAGGGGTGTGCCGAAATGGGTGTGGGTGACGCATGCGGGCGCGGGCACTGGGGCCTTCGGTGGAGCTCCCTATGGAGCCACGAAACGTGTGAGGGGTGTGCCGAAATGGGTGTGGGTGACGCATGCGGGCGCGGGCACTGGGGCCTTCGGTGGAGCTCCCTATGGAGCCACGAAACAGTGTACTGGGTGGGTGAAGAGGAGAGGAGAAGAGAAGAGGAGAGGAGAGGAGAGGAATGATGATGATAATGATGATGATAATGATGATGATGATGATGATGACGATGATGATGATGATGATGATGATGATGATGATGATGATGATGATGATGATGACGATGATGACGGTGATGATGATGATGATGATGATGATGATGATGGCAGGAGGGAGGGGGCAGCGGGAGGAGGAGGAGTGAACGCGGGGCGCTGTCTCTTCAAAACGAGGACCCAACACCACAGGATGGTTGGGAAATACAGTTTCTTCCCTCGCCCTCGTTCTCTTAATTGGGGGGGCATGGAGCCGTTGAGGTAAAAAAACACCCATCTGCGCGACGATGGCTCTTCCCGCTGCGTGCCCAGAAGAAACAAATTTCATAAACATAAACTTTTGGTGCTCCGCGCGGATTTCTTAGATCTGCGCTGGACCCCCCGTGCCTGGCGAGAGCGCCAGGGGCGGCGCCGGAGGCGCTTCCGGGGGGGGGGGCCCAGCGCGGATCCAAGAAATCCGCGCGGAGCGCCAACAAATTACGTTTATGGCCTTTTTTATCATTTGAGTGCCACGCGCTGGAAGCACGACGAGCTCTGCTCCGCTTGGCCTGCAACATCCTGCAGGATCCTGCGGGATCCTGCACCCAAGCCGGGGTCAGGGCACCCCTGGCTCTGCAGGATCCTGCAAAATCCGGCGCTCTGACTGACCCCCGCTTGCACTGACCCTCGTCTCTTGAGCACTGACGCTTGGCCTCTTCGCCGATGTCGGCGTCCAGCTCGTCTCGGAGCAGCAGCGCCACCTCGGGCAGAGGTTCAAGGGGCCCAAGGACACACAAATAGATACACACACAAATAAGATGATTCCCCATATTTTTCCACACTTTCTACGTTTTTGCCTCCCCGCCCACTTCCCATATTTTCCCATATTTTCCTGGGAGTCGACGATGAATTGTGTCTCTGTGTGTTTTTTTCCCCCTCCTGAGGGGTGGCCGGGCCGAGGGTCCGCAGTGGGGCAAAAGGCAGGGGGGGCGGGGGCGGGGCGAGGGGCGCCGGCCGAGCGGTGAGGCCAGGAGTTCGAGCGGGTGGCGAGGCAGCTGTCGGCCACCTCGAGGGCGTCATGGTCTTTGCGGCGGCCTCCTTTTCCTCATCCTCGCCCTCGCCCTCGTCCTCGTCCTCGTCCTCGTCCTCGTCCTCGCCCTCGTCCTCGTCCTCATCCTCATCCTCGCCCTCGTCCTCTTCCTCATCCTCGTCCTCGCCCTCGCCCTCGCCCTCATCACAGGAGCATGGAGAGGCAGCGCGTAACAGACAGAGCACAGGCATCCGTCTCATGCCACCGTGCCACCACACTCCTCCTCCTCCTCCTCCTCCGATCCATCCTCCAACCTCCCCCTCTTGGGGTACGACGTGGCTAGGCAGCTCAAGCGGTGGCGAGGCAGCTGTCCAAAACCCTAAGGGTATCATGGTCCCTGCGGCGGCCAAAAGGACGAATGAGAGGGCGCATTGGACGACTGTCGGGTGCGTGGGGGTGAGTTCTGGGCCAGTCGTCCTGAGGTGGTCCTGAGGACGCTCCTCGAATCTGATTTGTTCATTCCTTCCTGGCGGCCAGCTTTGGCTCTCCAAACTCGCCAACCCGAGGTGAGCGAGCCACATCGTAATCGAATCAAAGAGAAGCCCCTTCCCTTTGATCCCTTCCCCGCTGGGAGCGGGAGGCCCGGGTCAGAATGCGCTCCACACTTCACCTTTCTGGGTGATCTTCGGGCCAGTTTGGTCCTCTTTCCGCAACTCAGGTTCAAGACGTCCAAGATATTCTCAAGACGACCCAAGAGGTCTCCAATACTGCGCAAGAGGGCCCCCACGAGGGCACCAAGAAGCAAACATAATGGATCATCCTATTGCCATTGCTATTTAACGGATTTTCGCGTTCTCGCCTTCTCGGTCTTCCGGCGCTCCAGGATGGTTCAGGAGGCCCCAGAGATCGCCCCAAGACGGCCCCAAGACAGCCAGAGAGGCCCCCAAGATGTTGCGGTTCGAGCCCTCGCACCCGAGACCACCAGCAGGCCCCCAAGAGGCCCCAGGGAGGCCCCAGGAGGCTCCCAAGGGGCCGCCAACAGGCCACCGCGAGCCCTCCAAGGCACCTCCAAGGAGGCACCCCGAGAGACCCTTTGGGAGCCGACGCGAAGACCCTGGCCCACGACCCAAGCAAGCACGGCGTCGGAGTGGGCCGGCGGCAACTAGACGGTGGTGGCACTGCGCGTTGCGTCTCCTCTCAAACATCTCCTCCTCCTCCTCCTTCTGCTGCTCCTGCTCCTCCTCCTGCTCCTCCTGCTCCTCCTGCTCCTCCTGCTCCTCCTCCTCCTCCTCCTCCTCCTCCTCCTCGCTCTCCAAACCGCTATGGGATGATCGTTGGCCTGCACCTGTGCGCTCCTCGGGCTCTCCCGTGGCCTTTCCCGGGGTCCCCCCGAGATCCCCCTTCCGGGCTGCGGAACTGGCCGTGCGGCCTTTCCGGTCTAGTGCAGATGCTGCAGGACGAGAGGAGCACATGTTCGCGATGACGAGAGACGCCCCTCCCCCGAGAGAAGAAGTATGGCGACCTGTCCGCTCTTTTCCCGCTTTGTGGCAAGCTCACCACCTGGCCGATGCGAGAGACAGAGAAAGACACACACAATGAAAGCTGCGGGCAATATAACGGGGCAGCGCATACTGAAACAGCAAGTGTTCGAAATGAATATCGCAAGATTAATGTCAGCACGCGCTGTAACCCGAGAGCCTCCACGAAGTAGAGACGCGCAACGCACTTCACTCAGATATGATAGTGTCGCGACCAGTACCGTGAATCGAGCTGGCCAATGTTGACTGCGAAGCGAATGACAACAACATATGAACGAGACCTCGAAACGCTTGTAATTTCCCCCGCCTCCAATCCATACCTTCACGCAAGTCTTCCTCGGAAATCCAGGAACGCCCTCATGTCCAATGCTGCCCGCAAACTTTCGAAATTATCGGTGGCCAGTGTGCTTCACGATCTATGACAGCGCTGGAACTCACTTGAACATGAACGTTGCCAGCCCGTATGCAACCTGAGGGGCTCCCTGACGGCCCTGGCAAACTCCAGGATGTTCGAGGTTGCCCCCATTAGTCCTTTATATTGCCGTAAGATGGGTCTGGTAGGTGTTCAGGTCGAGCTCAAACGACGCTCACCCTATACTTCAAATGTCTGTTATGTTTTCGATCGGCTGTTGCATTTCACCAGGCTGTAGGGACCCCCCTCACAGGAAGTCTTGCATTTCTATTCCCATGCTGTGAGGGTGGGTCGCAACAAGGGGAGGGTTGGAAACAGGAAGAGTGGAGGTGGAGGGGTGGAGGGGTCAGCGGCTCTGACCCGCCCTAGCCACAGCGGAGTCATTCCTCTCGCCCGCCCACGCAGCTTCGCCTCGCCCGCACGCACGACACGAACCCGTAAACGAAACCGACTTCCGGGTGGGGGGCTCTCCGTTCCACCTCAATCTCATCCCCCAACCCGACCAGCCACAACTGGGGGAGCTGTGGTCCTAACCTCCCTGGGGGAACCCATCGCATCGACGACCTCTCGAGAGGGGTGTCGAAATCGATGGGTCCCCCAGGGGGGAAAGGACCAAAGCTCCCCCAATTGCGGCTGACCTGCCAACCTCCGATTGACGTGCCGCTTTTTGTTGCGCCGCCTTTCATCTTGGAGGCGGCCAGGGGGGCCGGACAAGCCTACGGAAAGTCGGCCAAGAAAGGAGGCTGAGGGCAAACTGCGCCAACATCCATCGCCAAACTCCGACCCCTCCCGGGGTCCAAGCTGATACAAGTTCTTCGAGCCGCGTCCAGTCTTGCCGACGAGGGCCCCCCCCTGTCTGCAGGCTGAAATCCATACTGGACCACCTCGGCCCCCCCAAACATGCGATGTCCTGATTTTTGTCCGTGCGCGGTCCCTGGAAGCCCCGACCCCTTCCCGAGGGCCAACTTTCCATCGTGAACCGTTTCTGGGCGGTCCCGGGGCACGCCGAGGGCCCCGGGAGGCCGAATATTGAGAAACACCTCCGTCCAAATTTTTGCCAGGACGTTGCGTGTCTGGCCCCCCAGCCTCCGTTGGCAACTCACGGGAGCCTCCCATACCATCTTGTTGGCTCTTGCGAACCGACGCTAGTCGACGCTATATCGACGCTCATCGACGCTACATCGACACTCATCGACGCTATCTCATCGACTCCCAGACGCCAATCGACGCTAGTCGACGGCATTATGAGGGTATACCAAACTCCCACGATTTGCTACCGAACTAGCCAGCTCCAACGTGTTGCTTCCACTTCCGCCGCGGTGTATTCTGTTGTTTGCACGCTCTCAGACTGGTGGGGGTCCATGACCAGAACTCAGGTTCTGCACATCCGAGGATCTGCGCATCTTGTCTTCGGCGAGCCAATTCTACACACCAGAACACGCAGCTTCTACACATCACACAAACGTGTGCAAGGCAAAACGCAAATCCTACACTTGGGGGGGCGCCTCGCGGTGGGCTGGGCCGCGCGCCAAGGAGGAGGAGGAGGAGGAGGAGGAGGAGGAGGAGGGGGAGGAGGAGGAGGAGGAGGGGGAGGAGGAGGAGGAGGAGGAGGAGGAGGAGGAGGAGGGAGAAGGGAGGAGGGAGGAGGGCCCCTGTGCCTACCTCTCGCCAGGGCGGGCCCGACGCCGCTCCATGCACCACCGCCGCCCTCTCCGCCCACCAAGGGTGCGAGAAGCGCGCCCAAGACCGAAGCCCCTCCGATGGGCGCCGCCAGGGACACCCAAGCTGACTACCTACCAGACCACCCCAACCCAACCCGAAGACCCAAATTTCGGGTTGGGGGGGGTACGGGTTCCATATGTGTTTTTTCAGTGTTCCCCGACCCCCCCCAAACTGGAAATGGAGGGACACCCAAGCAGGGTCTGCGCTGGGCCGGATCGCGAAATCGGCTCGGGTCGGGCGCGGCTCGAATCGCCAGCGAATCGTCCCGAATCGGGCCGGCATCGAATCGCCGCGCCCCGCTTCCCGCCCCGGTGCCGGCGAATAGAGCCGGCTCGCACCGAACCGGAATCGCGGCCCCAGCGGACGAAGCGCATCGCACCGAATCGGATCGTAGGCGGCCCTGCCAAGGCCGGCCACCGCGACGGCACAGACCGAAAACCAGCCGACGCCGAAAGCAAGGCCGAGGCCGGCAGCAGCCGGCAGGCCGCACGCAGCCCGGAAGCGCGCAGCGGCGCAGCAGTCGGGTGTGGCCGGAAGCAGGGCCCCAGGCCCACGGTGCCCCCAGCTCCTGGCTCCGCCCTGGAGCCCCCGGGGCCCTCGGGGCCTCGTGGGGAGGGGTGCCGTGGAGGCCGCCCGGGCCACCCGAGAATCCTGGGGGTGCCTTAGACCAGGGTAAAACAGAGCCAGGATCGGGATAAGTCGCTCCAGAGCGTTCCGGAGCGCTCTCAGAGCACCAGTAGTAGTAATAGGAATCGCACAATAGTAATCTGCCGACCCTGTCGGCGTGTGTGAGGGGCTTCTCCGTTCGCGTCGTGCTTTCTTTCCTGCTCGATTTTCTCTAGCCGCATCCAGCTTCCACTCACCGCTCTCCCGCTCTCCGTCAGCAGAGTCCTCTTCGTTGCACATGCTGTGCCAAGCAATTGATTGAACGTCGTCAATACTTCGAAGGGAAGCCCCTTCCCTTTTCCCTTCCCCGGTGCGATGGGGGGGGGGCGGACCCGGGGGGGTC